ATCCATAATGGTGAGAAAGAGAGAGAGAGAAATAAAGAGCAAAGACACAAGGAAAAGCACGACTACCACAGAGAGAGAGAGAGAGAGAGAGAGAGAGAGAGAGAGAGAGAGAGAGAGAGAGAGAGAGAGAGAGAGAGAGAGAGAGAGAGAGAGAGAGAGATTGAATTGGTTTGGTCGGTTTGAGAAAGAGAGAAGTAAAGAGAGAAAGAGAGAGAGAGAGAGAGAGAGAGAGAGAGAGAGAGAGAGAGAGAGAGAGAGAGAGAGAGAGAGAGAGAGAGAGAGAGAGAGAGAGAGAGAGAGAGAGACAGAGAGAGAGAGAGAGAGACAGAGAGAGAGAGAGAGAGAGATAGAGACAGAGAGACAGAGAGAAAGAGAACGTCTTGTTTTGGTTTGCTGGGTGTTTTGTTCGTTTGAAGAAAAAGTGGCAGCGGCAGCGGGGCAGCGGGCAGCGGGGGAGAGGGGAGGGTAGGCGGGGGAGCCGGAACCGTCGTAGTGTGCCGTCAGCAGGGGCACGGCCACCAGGCACGTCTTCAAATATGCTGTCGCAGCTGACCCAGTGCTGTTGTCCATACTACTTCTACACATGGCCATGTGATTCAAACGGCACACAAGCAAAATGCTGTTCGAGTAAGAGCTCGGCATTTTTCTTACACGCCCGGCGCCGCCTCACACCCCACTACGGCTTCTACTTCTGCACCTGAGGTAAGCTTGAGGACTCGCTTGATGGGTCTTTGAGACTGCTCAGTGTCGTCGTTGCGTGCTGTGCTCACGTTACGCCGGCTTGGTGGGCAGCTTGTGTGTGTGCGTGTGTGTGTTTGTGTGTACGCGTAACAACGGGGCAGCCTGCTATTCATGACCGGGTGCCATGCAGTTCATCGACGCCGATGCCGTCGTCGCTGGTGAGTCTGTGCCACCAGCGTGACAAGACAAGCGATTGCTGTGCGCAATGTGTTGACGGTTTCCATCGTGCTGTTGGTCGTACTCTATCTGTTCTTAGATTCGACTCAGATGACCGACCTGCCAGAGCAGCCAACAGATGCTAAGGGCCGACCCATCGACCCGACCGACGTTTTGCCAGATGAACCCATGAAACAAGCGCCCGTAAGTTTGGCGTCTCTTCCCGCTCGTTATCCACCATCATTCGCACGCCCAACAGAGACCCACACCGCCTGGTTTTCTGCGATGGGGGCGTGCCGTGTCGTCACGGCATAGTCAAGGCCAACAACTCACCGTGTTGCCCCATACACCGCCAACCATCCAGAACATCAGCACCTTTTCTGGACCTCAGACCAATTGCATGATCCACCTTTATCGTGGTGAGCTGGGCAAAATGGTGGCTTATCGTATTCGCCTTGATACCAGCACCAACTGGGCTGTCAGCACGACCTCCGTCCTGACGGTCCTTGCCATGGGCGACGACTCGGTTCCACACTACTTTTTTGCATTCATTCTCTTTATCAACACAGCCTTCCTTCTCATTGAGGCCCGCCGCTATCAGGTCAGTGTTTTTTTTTTGTTTTTTGTTTTTTTTTGGGTCTCGCAATTGCCCAAGCTAGCCAGGGCCGTGTGTGATCTGGCTCACGCACCTGACTTGATGGCCAGATCTTTTTGGCTAGCCGTGCTCGCGTCCGAATTCTCGAGTCGGTACGTGCCTTGCAATACCGCTTGCCCAATTGCATTTGAGCGGGCTGCTTCCAGCTATTACAAGTGTGCGTTGGCTCATTGGCAGTGCCTTGCCGACCTTCATGCATCATCCACACAGGGCTTTTTCAGCGCCACCGTACTGCATGGCATTGAGGCGACGCCCGTGGAAGATGCCAAGGTCGTTCCCTTGACCAACGATAACATTGTTCCTGAGCACGCTGCCAGCCCATTGGACGACTGGCAGCCACAGCTCAAGCGCGCTCTCATGTCACTCACGAGCAAGCATGTTTCGTGGACCACCATTTACGTGCGCTGGCAGCGCAACTACATCTACTTGTTCACGGCCACCTACCTTGGCTGGATCTTCAAAATGCTGGCCTACGATGCTTTTCACTGGGCCGTTTTTGGTTCAGTAACGGGGTTCCTCCTCCTTGCGGCTGGTCTTGCACATTACTTCCGTCCAAATATTAAGACTCGGGAGTCAGAGTTTATGCACAAGAAGGACAAGGGCAAGTGGAGTGCCTTTCCAGCAGACGATGATTAGATGTGCATTCAGAACCTGGTGGTTCGTGCGCGCCAAGATAAATCGGTGAAGAGAGTGTGGTCACCCACCCTGATTGCCCGCGGCGCTGCAGTTGCAACTTGCTTTAGCTTTGTAGGGTGTGTCTGGATGTAAAATCTGAAGATGCAAATTCAACGTGTCGTGCAAACACAAGCCCATGGTGTTGGAACTCGTCAATTATGCAAATGGCACGGGGACGGCAGCGGAACGAAGAAGAACAAACGGCTGCTGTTCCAGCATTGACTGGTCAAAGAAAGGGCGGAATAGAAAAAGGGTTGCCGGAAAGGCACCGAAAGTAGACAAAGCAACAGGAACAGCAAGAGAGACCCTATATCATGGGCGCCAGGGGCGTATCGCCACGAGAGAAGGGCGTCGCCGCCAAAGACGGCCAGAGTAGAGGGACAGGACTGATGCAAAATGAACAGTCAAGCTTATGCCTTGGTTTCATCAGCCAAGGAGATTTCGCGCGGCTCGACGTCGTCCGTCGTGGCATCTTCTGCGCTGGCCGCATCTGGGGCCGTGTCTTCCGTCGTTTCAGCATCTGCGGTGTCTGCCGGAGTCTCACCGTCCCCCTCCTCTGTGGCCTCGGCCGTGTCTGCAGCTGTTGTGCTCGCTGCGTCTTGTGTGCTGTCGTCGGGATTGTGGGCAGAGTCTCCCTCGGCATTGTCGGCACCCTCTGGTGCCTCCCCGTCGACTGGATCTGCTGTTGCCTCGCCTTCGGCGTTGTCGGTGGTCGACTCGCCAACGTCACCATCTGCAAGGGCCAGCGTTGGCTCGGTTGTTGCCTCGGCTTCTTGGGCAGCAGCCTGTTGGTTGCGTGATCGCTCCAGCACGTGGCGCAGGATGTCTAGGCATTACAAAAAAAAAAAGAGTCGGGGTCAGATCCAGGCTTAAAAAAAAAAGAAAAGAAAAGAGAAAGGAGCAGAAAGGAAAGGTCAAGAGGGGCAACGGCTTTCAGTGCCAAATCGAGTTTGCATACCGTCAAGCATGCTACGCGCTGTGAAGGACTCCGAAAGCTGCGTTTCGACCTCACCCATGAGCCACGGCATAAACTGGCTTTCCACCTCTGCAAGTTGGTACAGCACACGATAATGGTGAGCGGACCTTGACTGCCCAAGGCAATAGAGCGTGGAATGGCAAGGGGGCGTCACAACCACGATTTGCGAAAAAGGGCCCGCACCTCGTTCTTGGCGATCATAGAAGAAGCCACCCTGGGAGAGTGATGAGAAGACGGAAGGCACGAGGTCGGCCAGGTAGCTGTGGGCAAAGGCACGGGCAGCAATCTTTTCGGCCGTAACCTTTTGCTGTTCAATGGCCTGACGTTGCTCTGTCACGCGCTGCTTCTTCTCCTCCTCGCGACGACGGGCCTGCTCTTCCATGCGCTGAACCTCGGCTAGCTCCGCAGCGCGCAGGGCGTCAAACTCGCGCTGGTGATCACGTAACCGATCGAGTTCCTCTTCCTCCATCACCTCCATCATGGACTGCTCGAGCGTTTTGCCGATGAGCACCTCCAAAATGGGCTTCACCTCGACGTCAAAGTCAAACAGCTCGCCATCTTGAATCTGGGTACTCTGATCCACGCCGGTTTTGGGTGGCACAAACAT